TTAATCCCAATAATATAGTAAACTAAAAATATGTTAAATGAAAATAGTACATGCTAATGATTTTTTTTTTTTTTTTTTTTTTTTTTTTTAATTTTAACAAATATTATACAATTAAGTTAATTTAGCTAACAACATCAATCAATCATTGATACTTAAATGGGTGGTAAAATGTATGTTTCTAAAAAACTAAAAAAAGAATTATAAATTACTCACCTTCATTATTATACATGGTATTATTAAATATTTTATTTAAATAACTACTTTGTTATAATATTAGGTAGGTATGTCTTAACCCTGATATTTATGTATCATAAAAATATTTTTATTTAAAAGTATATTGTTTTAGTGTTTTGCAACTGAATAGTTCTTCTGTTTGATTGGTGTTGTTAGCTATTTATTACCACCACGTTAAAATATTATTAGTCCCACTTTTAAATTTTACTGTATTTTTTTAAGTTATTGGTTAATCACCTATTAGAAGGTAAATCATAAAAACAAGACCTACAAGTTAAAGTAAAATTTTAAATTAATATTGTATTGAAAAAATATATTCAATAAAAAATTGTTAAATTGTGAAAATAACATTTTAAATATGGCTCTAATCAACCCATTTTATATAGAATTAGTTACATTTTTAAACTTTTGTCAGTTGTATCATAGGGGTGTGCTGAATATGCTTTAATTTAAATAAATAATAAGGTATATAAAACAGTTTCTTAGGTAGCTAATTGTATGCGCCTCTGAAGAGATTTTACAAATGGGTAATGAGCCTAGTCAATTTATCATAAACCATCTGAAATTAATGTCAGCATATACCTGTATTATATTGTGTGATTAAAAAAAATTGTATCATTAACTATGCCATTTTTTATTAGTCGCTTACTATGTTTTAAAGCTATTAAGTATATTTGTACATATTGAAATATCGTTTAAACCACAAAATCAATTTAAAAATTATTGTCTTCAAATTTTGTACTGGACAGTATTATAAGACATCAAACTCAATAATTTATTTTTATAAGATATTGGTGTTTATTTGTTTAGTATTTATATGTGTGTATACTGTATTGTAAACTTTAAAACTGTACCATACCTATTGATTTTTATTATACTATATTTTTTTGTAATTGATTTTTGACAATTTAAAAAATAGGTATACATTTTCAAATACAACCAATATTTTGGTTATTATAACCAATTTAACTGAAAAAATAGGTAACAGTAAGTTAATTAAGGATCAAGGTATACCTTCAGTGAGAAAAAAAAAATTTTGGTTTTCAAACGAATAGCCCCACCTAGAGATCCTATTCTTACATAAGCTTACAAGATGGTGCTCCGGCCCATAACTGCCGGCAGGTTCAGGACTATTTAAACAACATTTACGGAGGTAATTATCATTATCATCATATTTTGTTTGATTGCTACTTATAAAAATTTTAATATTATACATATAATATTTAAAGTTACACAATTTTCTTCTCATTTATATTCATATAGGTATTTATTTACATTAACCCAATATGTTATGGATACAATTTATACAAATAAGTATTACATTTAATTTAAATTGTATTTTTAAGATAACTGGATGGGTACCCGAAGTCCAGAAAATTCAATGGCCAGCACGTAGTCCAGACGTGACACCTTTGGGTTTTTTTTTGTTGGGATGGATTTGTGAAGAATGCTGTTTAAAGATATAATGCCATCCAGTAAAAATGAGCTGATAAAAAAAATTACAGAAGTCTGTTCAAATATACCAGCTGATATTATGAAAAAATGTACAACTGAAAATGTCTTAAAACGTATGACATTTTGTATGTCACAAAATGGTCAACATTTTGAACACATATTAAAAATAAATAATCCAAGAATTTTATGTAGTTGGATCTTCATACATTTTTTCTTTCAAATCCTTATTAATTAATGGTCTTGGACTCTTCGGATTCCGATTTGATTGTTAATCAAATAATATATTAATATCACTACATTAATTTAATATTAGTTTTTGTACAATAAAAAAAAAAGTTATAAGATTTTCAAATAGTGTAACTGTAAGACACGATTTTAGATAGGTAATTAATTAATTAAATTCTTAAATAGTGCTGTAAAATTATAATACCTATTATAGAATTATTCTATTTCATTTTCTACTATCATCATACAACATTCATATCATTCACAATATCACAGAACATTGAACAATATTATATTATTATTTAAGATAATTGATAGGACTATCTTAAATCGTGCAATTGTGCATTATCACCTAAATATGGGTATTTATTATTTACTTTCTGCATAATATTATAATCATATTACCAGTCACAGACTTATCAAGGTATACCTTAGTCATTAGTGGTAATAAGATATAATAATGCGGTGATACCATTTTAATTTTTAAATAATTATCTGTGAAATTGTGATTAAAATAAATTTGTCATAATATATTTCCAGTTTTTATTTATCATTCATTGGTAATTCGGTATGTCTAATTAGCCGATAAGTTAAGAAATGATTAGGGTTCAAAGTACAATGGTAATCTATAATTAATTGTTATTTATTTTGTCACCTTGGGTTCAACGATATCAAATTTATGATTAGCTCCTGGTCTTTACAATTATTGAAAATATTTTGAAAACCACCAATATTTTGAGGAGCTGTATCTCGCAAACGAATCATCGAAAAATAAAAATGTTAACGCGTAAATTCACAATAAAAATGGTATTATTAATTCATGATATTTTTATTATATGTTACCATTTGAAAATCAAAAGTTGTTAGTGGTTTCACTAATAAATATAAGGGTGAAAAAAATTAAAATATTATACGGTTTTAGAAAAACATAAACCTAGAAGTTTAAAAAAAAAAATATTCAAAAAAGTTAATACTTTTCGAGATAATTAGTGTACCCACTTAAATGGATCACCCTGTATATTATCGTAATTTAAAACAAAATATTATTTATAATATATAATTTTTTTAACAATATAATATATTATAAGATAATATACGTATTTGTAATTAAATATTAATTATAAATACTAATTAACGTTTAAAAAATATTTGTTCAACCATTTACATGAGTTTGTGAGTAATATTGTAGTCTGGAGATTTTTTTTCCTAGGGTCGGGGATTTTTTTTCAGGGATTCGTATGACTCATCGCGAATCCTCGCAAACAAGTGCATCTGTTCTATTACCTTTGCGGATATCGAACCTTCTCGAACAACAACAGTGCGCAGTTATCGTGCACCTGTCTGTTACATAATACGGATGACGAAAACATTGATTCTCTTAATGGCTTTAACATTTTACGTAAAACATTATAGCTACATAAACGTTAACGATAAGTTCACATTTAGATATGATTTTTTAATGCATATATTCCCATTATTTTTCAAATATACTCCAATATTAACAACGTATTTCTTATAATAGCACTCAATAACAATCGCGGTATCACATCCATTGATAACATCGTTATTTCGATAACACCGTGAGACAATATTATTTTATTGTTTTCATATTCTATTTGCATATATTATTATATTTTACAAATTACTTTGTTATTATTTTTTTATTTCAATATACCTATATCAATTTAATATTAAGACGACTATTCACAGGCCGTTCTCACAATGGTCAAACGCTGTTTGATATGTGGAATCGTTGATGCTATTGTTGGAGTTTCAGTACACAAGTAATTACAATTTCAATACTTGGGCATATTATTTAAATACATTTATTTTACTGATCTTTATCTTTAGCTTGCCAACGGACGTCGTACGTCAACGTTTGTGGGTTCAATTCATCGAGAACCAGGGGTTTCAAGTCAACCGAACATCTAAGCTATGTTCAAGGCATTTCATTCCTCACGTTGACTTCGCACCGGGAAACCTCTTACGCCGCCGTCTGACCAAAACAGCAGTTCCGTCAATAGTGAGTTTACGATGAAATATAATATTATTTAGTTTTAATTGTAAAGTACGACAATAGTGTAGGTACTGCAATAGTGACAATAGCGGTTTTATATTTTATAAGTTGTTACTCTTAAGCCTTAGCACTGTTAACTTTACGTATACGTCATAAATTAGTGGGTCTCACGTAGATTATAACGTGAATACTACATTCCACATCATATTTCAATACTTATAGACCGAGTTTTAACCTACCTTCATAGAGTACGATGCTTGCTAATAGACTTCACCAAATACAAATATTATTATCAATTGCACACTACCTATTCATATCATAAGTACACAAGGTTTTTGTTGTATTTGTTTTGCTTATTATAGAGTTTAGGATTTTATTTTATTTTAGATTTTGATAGATACACTTAAGACCTGTACCCTAAACAATAGTTACATTACACAATACTCAATACACTGTTTTTTATAACTTATAATTTTTATACATAACGTTCATGGTCGTAAAGCTTACTTTATTTTAAATATTTTATCACAGTTACACTTTACAAAACATATTTAAATACTTTCTCATATGCCTTATATTATTTATGGATGAATTGTTATGTTGAAATACATTCAATAGAATACAATATACATCCTACAGTCTTATCTTATTGAAAATTTGTGTTTCGATCAAATAAAAATGTAACGTTAAAATAGGTGTGTTAACACCACACGTCACTAATATTAAAACCACTGGATGACTATTTATTTGATAAATTGTATATATTAATTTATAACGTTGATACATTAACTAGAAACTATACCAAGTGTGTATTATTTTTTACCAGGCGAATACTTAATAAAAACTATAACAACATTTTTAAAAATATAGAAATAACACTATTAAACTCTTCTGTAAAATATATTGACCCTACTCAACACATGACTGTGCTCCTTATTGGTTCATTTAATACTTGCACATTAAACTAATTAAAATGATTGCATAGGTGGTCGGAGCATAACCAGTACCTGACCGTGAACTACCAGTTCACACAGAAATTGACAATGCCGATGCAAACTGCTGCGCAGAAATGTTCGTGGTGGAGTTCGTCGAGGTACAGATGGAAGATATCGAAGAGGAAGTCATCCAGATGGACCAAGTCCTGATGAACGACGATAACGCAGAAATGGTCGAGGTGGAGTACGTCGCAGTACAGATGGAAGATATCGACGAAGAAATAGACCAGATGGACCAAGTCATGATGAACGACGATAACGTAGAATTTATCGAAGTTCGGATGGACGAAGTCCTAATAGACGTTGACGAGGTAGTACCAGGAGAGATGGTGGACAACAATGAGGGGATGCAACTTGAAATCGAAATGTTACTCCAAGGCGTCGATGAAGAGGTCAGTGAATATTTCTTCATATTACTTATATCTATGTTTGTTAAAATTTTATAATTTCAATTGCAGTTCCAACCAATTCCCCCGGGTGTTCCGGTCCAACAGCCTAGAGGGCGTGCACCAATGATAGATCGTCCGGCTGGCGTCCAACATCCGCTCCCAGAACAGCATTACATTGGGGCGTTGAATGCGGTCTGTAGAGATTGTGGTGCCCGTCACTTCCCCATCGAAAGCACCACACAGGGAGGTTTCTATACATGTTGTAATAGCGGTCTCGTGACCGTAACAGGAGAGCGGGTGTTGCAACGCGGTCCGCACACGGAATACTATCCGCCAGTATGCTTGCTATAGATAGGCTATTCGTTACCAAGGAAATAACAACTTGCATAACAACCAGTTTAGTATATTACACAGAGGTGGATTTTTGTTACAGATGTACGTGTGTGATCTATATGTTAGAATGGAATCAAACAATCTGAACTACATCATTCGGAATCAGGGTACGCTCCTTGCAGAAGCGTATCGAGGCCTTGTGGACCACGTCAACCAACAGCTCCACTTGGACGTGCCAGCTAACCCCTTGGCCGTCGGCCGTAGAGTCATTTTACCTTCGACGTTCGTCGGGAGTCCCCGGTACAATAAAGGCTGTTATCATGACGCTATTTCCATTGTGCGAAAATTCGGTAAGCCTGATCTCTTCGTTACTTTTACATGCAATCCTAGGTGACCAGAGATCACAGAAAACCTAGGGACATACACTCTGGCGAACGACAGGCCTGACCTGGTAGCCAGAGTGTTCCATGTCAAACTTAAGGCTCTTATGCACGACATAACAGTCGGTAGGATTTTTGGTAATGTAAATGCTTATGTATACACTGTTGAATTCCAGAAACGCGGTCTACCGCACGCGCACATACTCATCATCCTCGGGGAGGACAGCAAGTTGCTCGACGCACAGGACGTCGACAACATTGTGTGCGCCTCCTTGCCAGACCCAGAGACTGATCGACGTCTGTTTGACTGCGTGACGTCGCACATGATTCACGGACCGTGTGGTCAACTAAACCCCAACAGTCCATGTATGAATGACAACAATTGCTTAAAGAAGTTTCCGAAGCAGTACTGTGATGAGACTGTGTACGTCTCTGACGGCGGCTACCCACAATACCGCCGTCCAAACAATGGTCTTAAGGCCCTTGTCGCACAACGTGAGGTCGGTAACGAGTTTGTCGTTCCATACAACCAGTGTTGGGCGTAATCGATTAATTTACGATTAAATTACGTAATCGATTACGATTACTTTATTAAATTACATTAATCATTAATCGTTTAATCATCTCTCAAAGTAATCAGTAATCATGATTACATATTTGTAATCGTTAATCTTTATCGCAAAATTTATCGCAAAACTGTTTTTTTTTTTATATGATATTACTTAAAATAGTATGAATTTCCAAAATATCAACGATATTAAGGTCCATTAAGTCTAATTAATTTCATATATCTTATCTTATGCATGTTATAAGGTATTTTTCTATAGATTTTTTCTAGTTGTTATATAGCATGTACCTAAATAAATCGAATTTACTATTTAAATTGTATTATTATTATCATATTATTAATTATATTTATTGATTTCTATTTTCTAATAAGTTAATTAAAAGAAAGTATTTTGTTTATAAGATGCATTTTTTTTATTTTTTTATTGTTAATTTTGCCTTCACGTGTTAAATTTATTTATAACATCGCCCGGAAAGCGAAACCACCGGTTGCCGGATTCGAACCAGTCACCAGTGACTGTCCGACTAGTGTCCGTTTACGCACAGCCGTCTTATGCCGCTCGGCTATGACAGTACTTCAATATATAAGTTATTCAGCCCAAATTCGTTATTGAAGTATCATTAATCATTAATCATTAATCATTAAAAATTAGTCATGATTACGAACTAACATATTTTGTAATCGTAATCAATACTACGATTACATTATGACTTTAATCATCTAAAATAATTTATTATTGTGATTATTGATTACATTAATTTATATTATGATTAACAACTACAATTTTTAATCATAATCTTTAATCATTAATCAGATTACGATTTGCCCAACACTGCATACAACCCATATCTACTGGCCAAATATGACGCTCACATCAATGTTGAGGTTTGCTCCACCATTAAGAGTGTAAAGTACATTTATAAATATGTCTACAAGGGACATGACGCAGCTACTTTGGCATTACAGGACGGAAATGAAGTGTTAAGGTAAGCAGATTCAATAATTTATTGTTTTCATATACAGAATCTTAATACTATTGCAGCTTTCATTGTTATTCTAACATTGTATAAATTAATAATAATTCCATCAACCATACACTATACTTGACGATGTAGATACATTTTTACAACCTTTCCATTTATACTTTGCTTAATGATTAAATGCTGTACAGAGATTAGATAAGATTTAAATTGTTCAGTTAATAATTAGCACTACACTTCCCCGTACACCTACATAAAGATATGCACTACTATTTTACTACTTCACTTACATACGCATAACTTCATATTATTTTTTGAAGTTTTACAAACTATATAATGTGGTTAATATAAATTATGAATAAATAAAAGGACTGTACTTCACATTTATTATAACATTTATAATTTATTCATACTTATTCATACTAACTATTCATTATCATATATTATATTATACAACTATTTAAATTGTACACCGATAGCACAACAGTGCGACTTAAATCTATAATTTTATGGAGGGGGTGCTGTGTTGGGATATATATATATGTAATTCATTACAGATTAAACGATTAATGTACAACAGTTGTATTCATACATTTATACTGCATACCTACATAACTACATTAATTAACTTATTTTACATAATATCATGTATGTTTAAATTTGGCAAAATATATCATTTTTACTTATAAAAAGATTCCATTCAATTCATTTTAATGTGCATAGGTATAATTAATAATTTGATCACAATTGTTCTTAACTTATCAACTGTTGCTTAATAATTATTTAAAAACATTTTTTGATTTGCAAGTAGGTACTTAAGCCATAACTTGATGCATCTTTACTATTTAAACGTGCATTGGAAGGTATAGTTAATAACTTTTACAGATTTAATTTAAACTTATAACAAACGGATACCTAACAGTTGTTTATTTAAATTTATATTAAAGAAATAAAAACAACAACCTCTTTATAATACCAATGTATTTCAATAGTATTCCAACAGACCCTATTGTGAACACAAATATACAATTTTGTAGTAACCATACCTTCACTTGACACAATGTACAATCTTAATTATTTAAATGTATACATCAGTAAACTTCCATCGTTTCAATTTAAATTATTTTTTACAACTTCATTGTCTCATTTTTTTTTATACAATTAGTACCAATCAATGAAAAACTATTAATATATATTTGTGATGTGTGATGACCTCATTGTATAAACATACAATTTATAACATTACTGTTTTTATTATATTATATATTGAATTAATTTTGATTTCAGTTACACTAACTCACGGTACGTCGGCCCACCTGAAGCCATTTGGAGGTTGTTTTCGTATGAGATACACAACAAAAGCCACACGGTCATAAGACTTCCGGTCCACCTGGAAGACAATCAGACCGTGTACTTTCCTCCCGGACATGCTGAAGAACGGTTAGACGATGATAACCAACGTCGTACTAAACTAACAGAGTTCTTCAAACTCAACACAAACAGCGAGGTGGCAAGACAGTACCTCTACCATGAGATACCACTACATTACACTTGGCACCAACCTAGCAGGACATGGTCGCCACGTAGAAATCGGATGGCCAACAAGACGTTGGCTCGGATGTACGTCGTCAACCCAAAGGATCAGCACCGTTTTCACCTGCGACTGTTACTTCTGAACCGGAGAGGCCCACGGTCTTTCCGGGACATAAGAACAGTCGACGGGATCGTGCACGAGACATATGGGGCTGCTGCAATTGCATTGGGACTCGTAGAAAACGACGAAGCATGGCATGCGTGCATGCAAGAGTCTGCAACGTTGGACACTCCCGGCCAGCTTCGGTATCTTTTTGTCACAATACTGGTGCACTGCCAGCCTACGGAACCGCTAAGGCTGTACACTAGCAACGAAGACAGCATGATTGAAGACTTCAATCGGCGTTTGCAAGACGTTGACCGTGCGAGGGCATCGACTCTGAAGGCCATTGGAGACCTTCTGCGGGTACACGGAAAAACACTCCACGACTACGGTCTGCCCATCCCTGACGACCGTCTACTAGAACCAGAATTGGACAATCAACTGTTCCACGCAATAGACGTGGCGGCATGGTGGGCACCACAAGTGGACACCTTGAACGCCCAACAGCGAACAGTATTTGATCGCATCATGGTGGCGGTCAATGACGACCGGGACGTGGCAAAAACATTATACGTCGACGGACCCGGAGGCACCGGAAAAACAACGCTTTATGGATGCCTAAAATGGGCACTTCAAAACCAACAACCGCCACGGAAAGTATTGTGCGTGGCATTCACGGGGATCGCCGCGTCGCTCATGGACGGCGGAATGACAGTTCACTCGACGTTTGGATTGCCATTTGGTACGCTGACCGACGACGATACATCCAACATCTCCTTGCAATCCATGCGCTCACAGAGGATACGTGATGCGGCGCTCATAGTCTGGGACGAATCGCCAATGTCACCGGGAACACAGCTCACAGTGGTCGATCGCTTACTCAGAGACATCATGGGAAAACAAACAATACCGTTCGGGGGCAAACCGGTCCTATTCGCGGGCGACTTCCGACAGATATTGCCCGTCGTACGCAGAGGGAATAGAAGCGCCATCGTCTTGGCGTCAATCAAACAAAACTTTTTGTGGAGAAACACGGAGAAGTTTGAACTGACCCAAAACATGCGCGCCGGGAAGCATATTAACATACCATACATTGCTACACGACCGGTCGTTTCTGATTGGCTCATTTCAAATAGCCCGCTTTAAATTTTAATATAATCATTATCATATTATCGCGTTATCAATCATAATATTGTATCACATACACGGTTTAAGATAAAGATATTGTAATTGTACATTTTTTTTAATAATTTAACATTTTCGGACTTAAATTATACCCTTTTTATTTTTTTAAAAGACATGTAACATAATTAGGTACCTTATACCTAATATAGAATGAAAATAAAAATATATTTTAAATGTATTAATGACCACGTCCATGGGATTTTGCATTTGGTAAGTTAGCGTTTACATTACTGCCAAGATTTCTTTTCCTTTTTTTTATACCAGATTCACATTTAGCTGGTCGACCTGATGGTAAACTTTTACTTCCTTTTGTAATATTTTGTGACCGCCTAGCAATAGAAGTCGGTTGGACAGACATTTTTGCACCAGATCTCTTTCGTAATGGTACCGATACATTTCCAGCTGTATGCAAGAATGTCTCCCATTGTCCTTCACTTGTAATTTTTTTTAATCGTGCTTCAAGAGTTTGTATTCCAGAAGAAGATGAACCATACTTTGTGTCATTAAATTTCATTAATTTTAGTATATTCTGAATAGCATTACAAGTTTCTTTATTTGTGTCGGCCTCTGCTATCTCGTGGCTTAAAGAAGATTGCATTTTATCTATTTAATTTAATTTATGGACATATTCAGAATTTTTATTTTTCTCAACTTATATTCTTTCATCATCAGGGATCACTACAGTCTGAGCAATATTATAGTTCTCTACATAAAATGGTTGAAAAAAATCAATTTTTAGAGATTTATCTCCTGATGCTAGCATAGCAATTTCATGTCTATCTTGAGGAGTAACAGGAGGGAAATTGTTTGACATTTCATCATAATGTATATATACTGCACATTGATGTTTGCAAAATTTACCATACTTCCCAATTGAACATGAACAACAACCAGCTTCTAAATTAACATCATAAGTACTTAAAGGATTTTTTTCACTTGGAACAATATAATTATTTTGTGCGCTATGAATAATTTGATTTTTTTTCACATAATTTGCCTTCTTAATTAATGTGTCCAAGAAAATTCTTGCTTCTCTATTTTTTGGATTTCTACAATTGGCAAATGTCATTAGTCGCCTACCGTAATGTTCTTCCAACACAGTGCAAGTGAAATCTAATAATGCAATAACATTATAGGCTTTAACTCTTGAGAGTACTGTATCCTTAAATATGCGTACTGTAATCTCAGAGTAATTGTTTGTATGATGACCTCTATTAGACTCATTCCTCCAAGCCAAACACCATTTTTGACGACCATCAAATTGGTCTGTAATGTATTTAGTCCATTTTGGATATTCTGAACTGTTTATGGCACTATTAAAATTATATTCAGCAAGTTTTACTGTATCTGCATACAAAATATTTTGAAAATGTTTCATTAATATTGGTCGCTTATTTTGAGGAATATTATTTTTGGAATCCCAAAGCCAACGCCAAACTGCCTGACAAACATGAAATATACATAACAAGTGATCACTTTCAGGCCAAGTATTTTTAATTGCATTTATTTCTGCTTGAGCATTATCAGTAACAAAAATTTTAGGCCAGGCTATGCCACCAAAACATTTTAAACCACACTCTCTAAGCAAATTAAATCCCGTACTATATGCTAAAAAAGATTGACCTGTATAAATAAAATAAATTGATAACAAAATGTATTAAAAAAATTTTCAACACTATATATTTAAACAAGAAAATTGATTAGTACAATTTATTTACCTTTTGTAATTATAATTGCTAATGGTACCGCTCCTGCTGCACATGGAGTTAATATAAAGGTTATTGAATGGTTTTCAGCGTCACATGCACTAGTGCTATCAACAAATACTATACCACTTGAAGATTTTAATTCATGAGCTCTTTGCATAAGAGGAGTAACAATAAGAAGAGCAAATGGATCTTCAACAAATTTGACAATTACATTTTGTTCTGAATATATATTCAATTTTTCTTTTAATTTCTAAGAAATAATAATGCAAAATAGAATAAAACAATGAATTATATTAATATATTATTGCATAGGTATTGATAATAGTCACCCTATTTGACCTACTTCAATCATTCCAATTCCAGAACGTGGACCCAAGTTCTTAATTCTCCATTCATCATGCCAATACTGAACTGTTCTATATGTTGGATTAATAGCTCCATTTGCTAAGTCTTCCAATGAAAAATTATCTTTTAACTCCAAAATATCCTCATGATACTTAAGAGCTTCAGAAATTCCCATATTGGAACTGAAGTACTCAAAAAATGTATTTTTTAATTTTAAGTCTGCTGGTATAAATCTTAAAGTTTCAGCAGTATCTAAACTATGGGTGTGTTTATTATTTATAGTTATAATTCCACGAAGTCCATTCTAGAAAATAAATTATTTTAAAATTTGTGATTTTTATAAACTATTAAGCAAATTTATTACATACTTAAATATTTTAGATTCTGAGCGGTGAGATGAAGCTAGTAGTTTTACAATGATGTTTATTTTTTTATTTTTTTTTTATTCTGTAAACAAGAAGGAGTGCTTCGATTTCCATATACAAAAAAAAATACACACACATTGTAAGTCAACACATTCATTGCTCCGCTCAGAATCTAAAAATTAACTTTATAAAATAAAAAATAAATATATTTACAGTTAAATGTTGTATTATTTTATAATTTATACTACCTATAAAAAAAATTATAATTTAATCAAATTATAGACGTTATTTAAAAATATGAGGGTTTCCATAGATATCTGTTGCTTAATTTTTTTATTACAGTTCTTAGTAAAAGGTACAGGCATTTACTCTTTAAACTTTAGGTTATTAGTTAATTTTACATAACAGATTACACTAATTAACAAAATCTTTACAAATTTCTAATAATATCTATTATCTATTATATTAATATCTTAATTATCTAATAAAGAGTGTGTGAGGTTAACCACCGTTACACTCTTGGGAAGTAAAACTTCTTTCATAAGTATTAGTGCTCATGAATTAGGGAGAGTGAGAAAAATCAATACAAAAAAAAAAACACATGGTTATATAATATATACTACATTTGTTTTAGGTAAAGGTCGAGATTCATCTCGATTTAGTTTTGATTTTTTTGTAACTCCATATTCACATTCCTCGGCTTTCTTTTTACTAATAGTGTATTCTGAAATATTGAAATATGTTCATAATCAGTAATCGTTATATATATATATACAAAAAAAAATTGTGTATATATATATATATATATATATATATATAAACCGTTAAACAAAATTTTTGTAACAACTATCACTATAGAAACTGACGTACACAAAATACTTATATATATATATATGCGTTTCATTTTTTGTGACAATTTTTTTTCATCTAGAAAACAAGGCACAAAAAAGAAGTTTTACTTAAAAAAAAAAAACGCTACTTTATTTGTTGACAAACTTATAATAAAAAAAAAACTCAAACTCATACTCACCTTTATAAAAGTGTCTGATTTTCTAGTTGCTAACGTATCAAGCTTTATAACACAAGTAATAGTTGCAGAACAGTTAGCATTTTTAGAATTACCTTTTTTATTTTCTTCCCTAGACACTTTTTGGAAAGTACTATGATGACAAACAAATTTTTTTCTAAAAAAAATAAATAATAGGTAGATATTGTATAAGTAGAGTATATTTAATATTACTATAAGCAAACGTATGAGTAGGTACATGGAACAAATTTCAATTTAATTTTTCAAAGATATTTAATCACGATCCTTATGGACATTTACAAGCCCAGTATTTATTATTCAATATCAAAACATTTTACTTCTCCCTATAATGTTGAAATATATTACCTAATTGGGATACTTTTATTAAATTCATTATAATATGTACCTATAGACCATAGGTAGGTAATTATATTGTATTTTAGTAACTCAGAAACTACTCATTTTAATGTTGATTTATTTAGATACAATTTCAATTATCTATCTTCTGAATAATTTAAAGTAAATATTTTGTTTCTATTTTAATTTTCCTCATTTAAAAACAGATTTGTGTCACCACAGAATGATTCCTCTTAAAGTGTAACAAAAAATCTAAGGTACCTATTCAAAATTATTGTCTTTAGACTTTGAAGATATTTAAAAATTACAAAAATCAGATGTTGAATAAATGAATTATTGATAAAAAATATGTGGATATGCTTTCTGAATTTTCCTCACATATTGACTAAAATAATGGTACAGGGGAAAAAAATGTTGTAAAACAAAAAAAATTAAACTTGTTGACTGATTTTATTAGGTACTCTTAAAAATCTTATGAATCTATAATTAATAATACATCTAAATAATCTAATAACATTCTACATATTTTGAAATAATTAAGGTGGATTTATACAAATTCACCTTGGCAATAATATGATATTCAATCAATTATGTACATTTTCACATTATCTATGTTATTATAATATTAGTTAAATTATATAATAATAATTTTGAACAATATTAGAATTCTATGAATTATAAACACAAGTTACAAAGTATTATAATGCTGATATTTTAATACAATAAATAAGGCAATAGATAGGTTAAGTTAAAACTAATTTAATATTTCAAATAACTAATAAATTACCTACTTAGATTATTACCTAACAATTAACATAATACTTAATAGATAAAATATATACCCACACAGCAAAATTATATTTTCAAAATATTGTGGAAATATTGTTAGTACAAATTTAAATATTTGATTTAGATTGTTACAATATTTTAAAAAATTGTCAAAATATTTTAGAAACATTTTTTGGCAGGTGATTAAACGTTTTCACAATATTATAGCAATATATTTTCACAATATTGTATTTGTATATTTTCACAAACATTTCCCTATATATTTTCACAATAATGTAGCCCTATATTTTCACAATATTATAGCTATATATTTTCACAATATTGTACTTGTATATTTTCACAAACGTTGCCATATATATTTTCACAATAATGTAGCCCTATATTTTCACAATATTGTAGCTATATATTTTTACAATATTTGATTTATGAATTTTCAAAATATTTGTAACAAATATATCTGAAATTATTTATCTATGATGTAGTATATTATATTATATTTAATGATACCCAATACATATAATAGACAAATGCCACAAATATTTTTTAGCCGTCTAACCAATATATTATTACAAACGTGCTGTATATTGTATTAAATTTATTTAATATTATATTGTTTAATTTATGCAAATAAAATGCAAGAAATGTTATTTGAGATGTATAAACAGAAGATAAAATAGGAAAAATTAAGACTTCTTTATAATATGGTTAAAAAAAAAATCATGATATAAATAATTATTAAAATATTTATTTATAATAATCATAAACATAAATTAATTATTATTCATTTTAAGCTTTTTTATTTTTTCTCGTTGACCTGCTTGGGCCATCCAATTTTTTAAGGGTTTTTCAATTTCATTATTTGGAACTTCTGAATACTTTTTAATTGTACGTACTGCTTCTAAAAAAATATAAAATAAACATTTTAAAAGTATATATCTACATTTAGAGTTGAGTTATAATTTGTACATTATACATGCATTTACACATGTGTATCATTACATATACGTATATGTTTTATTAAAGTTGATTTTCATAACAGTTTTTAGGTACATATATTTTATGAATATTTAATATAATATTTATTTTAACTTACCAAATATAACAGTGCAACTTTGCAATGTAGAAAATTGGTTTTTTCCTTTAAAACCAATAAAAGAATAGTTCATTAGAAATGAATCGCTAAATAGTACTTGCATAATTTTCCTCATAGTCTCTGCCAAAGTATTGCATGAAAAGCGAGACAAAGTTCTGATCTATAAAATAATAAAATATAAACATGTATAAAGATTGTATATTTATTTATTTAGATGACATACCATATTAGATCGGTATGAGGCATCATTAGTTAATTTATCTTCTGCCTTATGTAAATCATCGTCATTATTAATAATAATAATATCTTCTTTATCTGAAGTAATGATGTTCGAACATCCTGAAAGTTTACCATCGATCTTCTCAAGCAGAGCATCTAGAACATCCATGCGTGTATGTATATTTTGTACATCATACTTGAGGGTGGTCAAACTTCGTCTTATGTTTTTTTTAAAAGCTGAAATAATAATAAAGTAGTTGTAGGTTACTTACAATATTAATAAAATAATTATGATTGTAAAAATTGTTTAGAGAAATGATTTTACTACCTTCATCATTTTCAAGTTCAGGCTGAGATGAGACCAATTGGTTTTTATTAATAGATATTTCATCTACTGACACATCAGACGATGATGCAGAATTTTTTGTTGAAATATAGGTGTTGTATAATTTAAATTTTTTATTTGATGCTATTTCAAATTTTGGTTTATTTGGTAGATTCACTGGTGTTTTGAAACCAGATTCAATACCTGAACAAACCTCATCATCAAATAAATTATCATCATTGTCTGAATCATTTAATTGTACTGGTGTGTATGTCTTATTGTCTATAATATATGAATCATCACCATCATCAGATCCTATATAAATTTAAAAAATTACAATTAATTACATATTTTGTACTTGTATAATGGTATATACTTTACATTTCATTTGAATTAAGATTATTTCAATTTATTAATTAAAAACAAAATATTAGGTACTTAATAACATTTTAAACAAATTGATATTTTAGATTCTAAACGGAGCGAGGAAGCTATAGTGGTTTTACAATGGTGTTTATTTATTTTTATTTTTTTTTTGTTATATCGATCCTGTATAAAAAATATCTACCAGTAGGAGTGCTTCGATTTCAACATAATATAGTACCTTATCTTTTAGCAAATCGGATCAATATATGGTACTTTAGAAAGGTCATATTTTGATTTTCTCAATAATTATTTAATGCCACAGGAAAAACCACCGAAAAATTTCGAAAAACCGCTATAAATGGGATTTTAATTTCTAACGCTTTGTTTATCACCATAGAAACGAATAAACAATAATAATACCTATTATAATATAAATTCAACTTACAGGATAAAATAAATAATAACAATATCCACACTGACAAACCGTCTCCGCTCAGAATCGTTTTTCTTATACAATGATATTATTTCATTGACTTCAAATTAAATACAATCCTTTATACATTGACAAATTGTAACCTACTGTACAGCAGAACGACATCCACTTACCCACATTTTTCTAATAGATTCATTATTTTAAAATATAGCAACCTCTATTTAATATTTTAATTCAGAAATTATTACACGTTTCAATTTATTTGTTATATTTTTTTATTTATAAGTTTTTAGGAATCAAAATTATGAGGTGTTGTTAGACAGAAATTGACTCTTTTATTCCTTTATGATATTCTACCATTACCTTATTTATATATATAAATCAACATTATAAATATTAAATTGTAAGTAAATTTAATACTGTAATACTTATTTCATATTTATTGATGAATGAAAATGACAAATGTAATAATTTATTGAATAGTAAGTACTATAGTAACACACAGATTAAATACTATGTATATGTATGTACATAGTATTTAATCATCCAGCCTGTATATTACATAATGAATTAGTTTAATAATTATATAAAAATGATGTCATTAAATTGACTAATATTACCTTCTAAATTATGAGCTGGAGGACTTGAAACGTCTAACAATTCATTTTTCTTGTAAGTTACAGGTTTTTTGGTTCTTTTTTTTGTATTGATATTAAAATTATCATTAGATGACAGTCCAGAATTCTCCTGTGCCAAGGACCGAGCTTCCAACAAGCTACCTATACAAACATGTAAATTAACATTATTGTAGTTTTTAAAAATTATTTATAAAAAGACTTAATATAATTACCTATATTCGAATGCAAAATCTTACACTTGAAGTAATCGTATTCTAATTGATTTGGATTTGCACGACGTTCAATTAATTTTTGGGCATACTTTTTTGGCCAAGCACAAACAGCGCTGCGAACCCAGAATTTTGGCACAGCAGCTACTGTGTTGTCAGTAGCAAAACATACAACACTCCACATATTCTTGAAGAACAATACATTTTATAATTAATACAAACATAAGGTAATATATATATAGGTAATAAGAAAACATTTAGCTAATTTTGAACAATAGTTTACACATCAATATAAATAATTTAATTTAAAGTGTATATTATATTAAATTAGTGACTATTATAATATTATAACCAATAAAATATTTCAAAATTAAAATTAAAATTTGATTATGAATTATTTAATATTATTATACATGTCTACAATTTAAAATATTTATTATTTATATACAACTGCATTTTTAAATACAATTTATTTTAATATTGGTACAGCTATCAATACTTCATTGATATCGAAAATCATTATTTTTTTTTTTATATCCGATATACACCATTCTTTAGTATTTTCAGATAAATCTTTAACAATGAATATATCCAGTTTAGAAGAGCTTATTGGTTTTTCAAACATATCTTCTTTGGAGTTGAATTTCTTGCCTACAATTGTTGAAGTATTTGATAAAATGTCAATAATTTGAACTATTTCCCCTCCAGTTGTTAATACAAAGTTATCTGGCTTCTTAATTGTAAATGTATTATATTTACTATTACTGAATTTAATATTATCATTAATAATAATTTCTCCATAACGTTTAATAATTTGCTCCAATGGTTTTTCATGTTTTCGAAGCATGCGTTTTAAAAATTTCATGTAGTTCTCGAACGGAAAACAGCTGCAGTTATCAAGAGGTCCATATGTAATATAGTCATCAACTAAATGCAATAAGCTATGAACGTTATGCGATAGATAATGGCAACCATAAATTTGTTGAAATGTTTTTAAAAATAATTCAATAATTTAGCAGCATATTTTAAATATTCAGAATGATCGTTACTTAAAAGTATTCTCATTGATATGTTCAAAGACATAAAATGTTTATAACAATCATCTGACAAGACATTTTTCAAAACTATGGGTCCTGTATATAGGAGTAACTGTCTAAATTCTGTAGCTTTAAATCGAGGATACTCTTCAATTCTTCTTGGTTTTCGAGCAAAATCATTGGTAATACAGCTTCGTATTTTTTCTAGATTGAGTGATAATTGTTTTACTTTCCAACTTGATAAACGTACACTCGTAGGGCCATTATTCATCCAAAGATTTATTAATTTTTTCATGACACCCAAACAAACCAAGTGCATGTAGTCTAAAGAAAATAAACTTGTAATATTTATATCAGGTATCAGCGCAATACATGAAATTATAGGAGAAACATGATGCTCTTCATTATTCTTTAAAATATAATCATTGTGGTTTCTTTTTGTATGACCAATATCATTATAAGGAAAACAAACTCTATTATTGATGTATTCCCCTTCATGTGTACATCTTGTACACGAGAAGAACCCTGAATGTCCCTTCACACGCAATAAAAAACTTTTTGCAGGAACATCACAGCACATGACTTCAAGTGTAACTTTTTTTAACTGGTTATTAATTGTAATACCATTTGTTGTTATTTCTAAAATTTCACTGATGAAATCAAAAAGAAAATCATTGCTATCGAGTGGTTTTTGAAAGCCATAATAAA